CAAAATTTACTATCGTTGCCTCATTTCATTCAAGCTGCCCATCTAGACTTGCAGCGTACCTTTAGATGTAAAGGTCTCCTTCATTCTTCAGAAGCGTGTTCAATTTCATCTGCTGCATCAATCCTGTCAACTTCTGTGGGGGGCTTGAAATGCATCATCATCTCCTCTTCCTTTTGCAAAGCTGTACTCTCTCAAGCACGATACAGATAAAGAAGATAAAGATTCTCTTTAGACTTAATCATTAATTTTTCCCATCGATGGTTAGAGTCTCTGAGATATTTATATATTTCCTGCAAAGTTGTGAAGAAAACCTTCAGATTTGGACTGGCCTTACCTTCAGCAGCATGTGCCAAAACTAGGTTAATGTGATGTGCTGGCAATGGATGTATGGTGCCCACACTTTGTCTCCCCTGCCTGAAGGATATTCTTTCATTTTTCCTTGCAATCCTCCATGATCTCCGGCCATAACACTGGCACTATCCTATTCCTGTCCAGACATCTATTTGGCGTTTAATCCATATTTGCAGGATAAAACATTACTGGTCACACAAGGATGCAGCATCTCCCTCACTTACTGCTCAAAGCTTACAAACTGCTCTTTTATATCTGCCACTCCTTTGACACAATCAACATTAACAAAGCGAAGCAAAATGGCCATTTGATCAACATGGCTAATAGACATGACTTCATCTACAATGACAATAAAAAAAACATAGCTTCTTTGCTGATATTAAGTATGCACCACCTGCTAAAAGACGTATAAGTTCACCAGTAATTGTCTTGCTCAAGTATTTGACTATCTTGGTGTCGCTGATATGTTGGGCAAAAGTTGTATTATGTCTGTCAGGTAAATACCACACTTGCTGCTCTCCAGCACCTTTAGGTGGCTGTGGAAGGCGACACCTAAAGTAACTGAAGTTTTGACTATGCCAAGCAATATTTTTAGTACTTGACATTTCTTAATATTTTCAGATGCTTGTTTATCAAACCAAGCTTTGCTACGGTGACCCTTCGTGACCTGCAGAGCTGCCACACATGACTGAACATGTTGTTTGCTCCTCCCCTGAGCACTGACTTTAGCATAGTCTTCCAATCGTTAGCCATGTTGATTTCCGAGTTTCTGTATCAGCCAGCAGCCAACAAATGTGACCGTATGCGTAACCTGAAAGATCTGTTTAAGCTAAGCCACTTGTCATGCAAACCTTCATACGATCAATTTTTCATTCTGTAAATTGAAGATGGAAAGTGGCGATATGTAGGGGGAAAAAGGAAACTCTCCATTTGGCCTGTTGCTCAATGGGCTGGCAAGCAGGGGCGGATCCAGGCACCAGCGCAGCAAGCGCGTGCCTGGGGTGGCAAGCCGCGGGGGGCGGCCTGCCGGTCGCTGTGAAGGTGGCAGTCAGGCAGCCTTCAGCGGCACGCCTGCGGGAGATCCGCAGGTCCCGTGGCTTTGGCGGCAATTCAGCGGCGGGCACGCCGAAGGCACGGGACCGGCGGCGGCAGATCACCCGCAGACACGCCGCCGAATCCACGTGAACAGTGGACCGCACACAGGCGCGCCGCCGAAGGCCACCTGACTGCCATGCTTGGGGTGGCAAAAAACATAGAGCCGCCCCTGCTGGCAAGGACTAATCTGTAAAAGGTGATAAAATGGTCTCCTATGTGCTAGGGTAACACAGATAATTAACAACAACAATAGCTAATGGAAGCAGAGACCCCAGGTTGTGTATCTCTCCACAATAGCCCTGGAAATGCCCTGCTTTGAGGATTTCATTGACAGTGAACTCAACCAACAAGCAACCCAAAAGCAGGGCCCAATCGTGCAAGGCGCTGAGCCCCTTTATTTCCCAATGACTTCACATCACAGCACTCAGCGCCTGGTAGGTTCGGCCTAAGAGCTGCACTCAGATTTCTGAGAGATGGGCAACACGATCCTTGCTGCTGGTAGGTCTGGGCAGCGCCTTTCCCGTTCACTTTGTTCTGCTCAGCCTCTTGATCCAAGCATCGCCCTCGGCACCTTTGCTTTCTGCTCCTGTCAGCGTTTTATTAACCTATCTGTTCTGCAGCCTATGGTTGGAAGCGGCCGTTTTATTCCTCATTTAATTTTCATGGTGCATAAAACACTGGCAGGCCTGACAGGGGAGAGTTATCGTTGCTGATGTGCACTTTTATAAGGGCGCTTAAAAAATATTAAATCAACATTTACTAAAATATTTGCAGGGTGTGGGGATGAAATTCAGTGTCAGGAGCATGCGCCGCAAATCTTACACATCCCAAAGACACGGTCAGGCAGGAAACTCAACAGCGTTTGGTTTAGAAACACAGAACCACAGGGTTAGAAGGGACTGCAAAGGCCGTCTAGTCTAGCCCTTGCCAAGATGCAGGATTTGTTGTGTCTAAACCATCCAAGACAGGTGGCTCCAGCCTCTTTTTGAAAACCTCCAGTGAAGGAGCTTCCGCAACTCCCCTCGGTGTCTGTTCCATTGTCCTACTGTTCTTACAGTCAGGAAGTTTATCCTGAGATTTAATCTAAATCTGCTGTGCTGTAGTTTGACCCATTGCCTCTTGTCCTGCCCTCTGTGGCAGTTTTTCTCCAGCTTGTTTATGGCAGCCTTTCAAGTGTCTGAAGACCACTATCATGTCCCCCCGCCATCTCCTCTTTTCCAAACTAAACAGACCCGGTTCCTTCAGCCTTTGCTGATGTGTCTTGTATTCCATCCCTTTGATCATCTTTGTCACTCACCTCTGGATCCTTTCCAGTTTTTCCACATCCTTTCTATACGGCACTGACCAAAACCGGACACAGTTCTCCAGCTGAGGCCTAATCAGGCCCGAGTAGAGCATTACTATCACCTCCCGTGACTCGCCTGCTGTGCCTCGGTTAACGCAACCCAAAATTGCATTTGCTTTTTTGGCAACAGCGTCGCGTTGCTGACTCATGTCGAGGTTGGGATCCATCACAACTCCCAGATTGGTTGTTTGTTTTTTGTCACCCACACCACATTATTTCTTCAACACTGACTTTAAAGGGACATTTATACAAAATCAGCAAAAAACAGTTTTAGTTTATTCCTTTTTTTAAGAAAAATGCTGCACTTCCCCAGCTACAGATCTCTACCCAGGACACAAACATTACAGATTAAGTCTCGTAGCCACCGGGGAGTTAGATAATGATTATTGGCCTCATTATACAGATGGAGAAACTGAGGTACAAAGCAGTAAAAAGATTTACTAGAGGTTACAAAGCAGAACTGTAGCACAGTTAGGAAAAGAACCATCTAGAAGTACCTATATGGGAAGGGATCTAATGTAGCAGACAAAGGCATAACAAAATCTAATGGCTGGGAGCTAAAACTAGACAAAATCAGGTTAGAAATAAGGTGGATGTTTTTAACAGTGAGGGTAATTAACCATTGGAACAACTTACCAAGGGCTTTGGTGGATTCCCCACCACTGAGTGTCTTTAAATCAAGATGTATGAAACAAACAGACAAACTCTAGCTCATCCAGAAGATATGGGCTTGATGCATGAATCATTGGCTGAGATTGCTATACGATCACAATGGTCCTTTCTAGCCTTAAAATGTATAAATCTATTACCCCCTGATCTCCTGGCTCCCAGTTTCTGTGCTTTAACCACACCGAGTATCCCCTGTGTTTTGCATTTCTTTCCCAGTGCTGGAAACACAAATACAACATCCCTGTGCTAATGTGTGAGTTGTGTCCAGGTGGTGTCAGCACAGGCACAGGGAGGAAGGGGGGCAGGAACACCCACATTCTGTCACTGATGCTCTCTGCAGCCTTGGGAAAAATCACTTCATAATCATTAATTCCCCACCCCACAGCTGGGGAGAAATGAAGCTGAGCGAATTTGGGGCTTGATCCCAAGTGCCTTCCACATGGAACTCCCAGAGACGTCGTTACAATGCAGGCTGCAAGCTCTCTGGGGCAGGGATTGCTTTCGGTGAAGAGCCCAGAATGATGGAGCTTGACTGGGGTCTCTGGGCACTATGTCATAATGATAATAGATAAAGGGGGCAATGCAGAATTAGACCAAAGGCTTTGAAGATGAAATGGTCCAGCTGATGCGGCTGGCGTAGCAGCTCTGCGCACATACCCCTAGGTCCAGGGTTCACCTTAGCTTGAGGCATGATGTAGCCACTCTGATATGTCCTAGCTAACACCATTCTGGATACCGTTGGTAGCGGGACTGAAGCATGTCTACACTAGAAACTCTGCAGCTACACCGCTGTAGTGTAGACGCTCACCACAGCAATGGGAGGCGGTCTTCTTTCGCTGTAGCAAATCCACCTCCCTGAGAGGCAGTAGCTAGGTTGAAGGAAGAATTCTTTCATCAACTTAGCACTGTCTACACCAGGGCTTGGGTTGGCTTAACTACGCTGCGCAGGGAGTGAATTATTCTCATCCCCGAGTGACATCGTTGGAGCAACCTAAGATTTAGGTGTAGACCCGACCTGAGTGGCCCAGGCGACTGACTGCAGAGCCTGTCATATCTAAGTCACTGCTGGTCCATTGAAGGAACCAAAAGTCTCTATCATCAGATGTGGCTGGTGGGAAACCTGGGAAAAATGGTAGGTTTCAGAGTAGCAGCCGTATTAGTCTGTATCCGCAAAAAGAACAGGAGTACTTGTGGCACCTTAGAGACTAACAAATTTATTAGAGCATAAGCTTTCGTGGGCTACAGCCCATGGGTAGGTGAGATCTGAGTGGGCATGAAAAACCACCAGAAGAGCCAGCACTAACTGCAAACCAGATGGGCATCTCAGCAGAGAGGCCACCATCTGGATGGCAACTCAACTTGCCTGGAGAAGGTTTCAGTCTGCCCATTTCAAGGGGGGAAGAAGCTAGCCCGGCTGATGCCTGCACTGATCCTGTTCTGTGGCTAGAAGGAGCAGGAACTGGCGTGTTTCACCAACACACATTTGCTTTTGAAGACCCTGTTTGGAAAACCCACCCGCTGAGACGTGGCCCCGACTGACCTTCCATCAGAGTGTGGTGGATGCTCCAGTAGACGCTCAGGCAATGTTTCTCCTTCTTCATGCCCCGTTTACACTTGCAGCCAGAGAGCTGGCTGGACAGCAGGGCCGTCACCGTGCTCCGGCACTGGTTCTTGGCATCTGGCCCCAGTTTGTTGGCGCCGTTGCCCGCGATGCATTGCCGGAGGGTCCGGAACTTGGAGCTGCAGCTGGGATCATTGGTGCAGGACTCCCCGGCCTGCAGGCAATCTCTGCCCGAACTCACTGCTTCCGTCATGGCTTCTGCAAGAGAACGAGAGAGAGAGTCAGGGTGCGATGCTCCCAGACTGAAGATCAAAGCAATTCAACAACAACTCCCACTTTCTGGGCCAGGCTCTGAATAAGCCTTTGCTTAAATATACAAGCCCAATGGCCTGGCTTCCCCCAAGATCCCCAAGCACCTTACAAACAATGGGCCCGCTCATGAAGTCCTTACTCATGAATTCCCATTGATCTCAAGGGCACAAGTCGAAACTGCAAAATCAGGACTTCAGTATACAGTCACCTCCCCTCCTGCTGAAATGCGCCTACGGTGGAATGCAGCAGCTGCTTAGCAGCGTGTAGCAACACCATCCCACAGCCTCCCAAAGCTGCCCATGCAGATTCGCCTACAGGGGAACCAGGAGGGCAACATGCCCCCTTTGCCCTATGCTGGCACAGGGAAAGCCATGGGACTGAACTGAGGGGGGAGGGGGAGGGATAGCTCAATGGTTTGAGCATTGGCCTGCTAAACCCAGGGTTGTGAGTTCAGTCCTTGAGGGGGCCATTTAGGGGTCTAGGGCAAAAATCTGTCTGGGGATTGGTCCTGCTTTGAGCAGGGGATTGGACTAGATGACCTCCTGAGGTCCCTTCCAACCCTGGTATTCTATGTCTTCTTTCACTATTTTGTGGCCCATGGAAATCGCAGAGCTCCACTGAAGTCAAAGGCGATTTACACCAGTGGAAAATCTGGCTCTTTGACTGTACGATCCCAGACGAAAGGCAGTGGATCAGCCCTGCCAGGCTCGGTGCCCTGGCAATCCATTGCATGGACAGACCTACTGCATTGCTGCCGATTCCCCTCCATCTCCCACCAGCTGAGTGTGGTGTGGCTGACTTGCCCGCCACGGGGAGGGCAGCGGCGTATGCGGGAGGAGAGGAGAATCAGCCCCTTTCGCATGCGCGTGTTCTCACTCTCACGCCTTTGGTGGGGCGGCGGATGGGAAAATTCTCCAAACGTTAGGTGAATGCAGCCTCAGTAACTGCGGGGAGGTTTGGATGTGCAGCGGGCAAGCCCCCGGTGTGCAATGACTGGGTCGGTGTATGTTCCGGGGGCAGGCCAGTTTGTCACCGGCGAGCCATTAGGACCTCTCCAGGGCTCGTGCCTGGTCCGATCATTTCCAATGTCTCGGCAGAGGGGTCTCGAGTTTTCCCCTCTGAGGGTACGTCTACATCTCCTGGAGATGACCCACACTAGCTCTGAGTGAGCCAGCTAGCTAAAAATAGCAGCGTAGCTATAGCTGCACCAGGGGGCGCTAGCTGCCCCGAGTACGTACCTACGGTTTCAGACAGGATCACACTCAGAGCACCTAACTCATCTCGCTGCCGGTGCAGCCGCGGCTACACGGCTACTTTAGAGCTAGCACAGGTGTGTCTGTCTGAGCTGCAAGCCCCTTAGCACCCACGGAGTCAGCACCTCTGGACCGAGGGGCTGCAGAGCCCCTGGGGCCTTGGCCTACGACACCCTAGAGAGCTCATTGGGAAAAGCCCAGGGACTAACACAAAGCCGTGCCGTGATGGGTGCTGAGCTATTGGGGTCCCCGTGCAGCTCTACGATGACGTAACGCCACGACGCTGCCATGCACGCAGCGTGATGGTGGCCCAGCGTTCCCCGGTGAACGGGCATGAGAGCAGATGGAGCATCTCAGACAGAGGGGAGAACACCAAGTCCAGGAAAGGCCCGGCCTGAAGGAAAGTGGCTGACATGCCTTTGCTGCCCTCTGTTCGTTCAGCCATCCAAGCTGCCCCTGTGACCACGTCACAATTGAACACAGCCCCAACATTTGGGTGTGGTGCTCAATGCTGGCCTGGATCGCAGGTGGCTGTTCTTCCCCAGAGCCGAGGGTGACAGTTGGGGGGAGGGTATCCTGTGGGACGGGCGCTCAGGTTACAGAGTGGATGTGATATCCTCCTGGCATGAGAGAATGGCCTTGCCATCCCGGCTGCCATTTCAAACTAACGTGACGTTCTCATTGGCTCCCTGTCCAAAATGGCTGCTCAGTGCCTTTGTGTCCCACCCCAGTGAGAGGGGGCCTCATTCTGCTCTCGCTTTGGTGTAAATCTGGAGTAACTCCATTGAGGTCAGCAGGGGGGGTCACATGGGGGTAGAACTGGTTTAAGTGAGAGGAGAATTAAGCCCATAGTGTAAAAAGGAATTGCAGAACCAGCACTATAAAAACATAAGCTATTGCCGTTACCTCAGAACAGTAGTTCTCAACCTGCCCACACCGGGACCCCCTTTTCCATACCAATACTCCACTTTCAGCCAGTGGTCCCTCTACTATTTAGGAATGGGGGGGGGTAATGAACCCCTAACTCCTGGGTGGGATCACGATCTGCAGGTTGAGAAGGCCTGCCTTACAACTCTTGTTGGGTCCTCCTCAACCTCACAGAGTGGCCCATTCCCCAGTGTGGTGATTCCCTCAGTGCCAGCTTTGGATAAGTGCAAAGGACTATGGGTCATCTCAGAAAAGAACCAGTTGAAAGTAGCTAGGGGAGAGGAGGTGCTGGGAAATCCCCTTTTTTAGAGGCTGTAATGTGGCATGCCCCCCTCGCATGCTCATCACTGGCCGGTGGGGTAGCTCACAGCAGACGCACATCACAGCTTGGTCTTTCAGAACCTCCCGGGACTGCTCCAGTTTGAATTAATCTGATTTCTTTGAAATGTATTTTATGGCACAAGCAGCTGCCACGTCAACTAGCATGAAACCACCTTCTCGCCTGTAGGGGAATCTCCTTTCCCCTTTTGGCACCTTTGGGGGAAGAAGTATGGTCCACAACCGCACCTCAGAGGACATTGTGGGCTATCATCCATTCTATTCACGGGGCTTCTCCCCTCTTCTTCATTCCTCCCCAGCGATCCCCATTTCTCTCTGCCCTGATTTCACTAACCCCACTCCCTCACGTGATCCCGACACATTCACCTCTCCAGGCAACGCAGCATTAGGATGTTTTTGGTAAGAGCTGCTTCTGTGCTGGCTAGAATGGAGGGCACCAGCGGGAATCTGGCTGTTTAAATCCTGTCCATCCAAGCTCCTGGCCAGCACAAACATGGCTGCTCTGAAATGCCGAGGTTGGCTCTCAACCACAGCAATCCTGTCAAACTCCAAATCATCTCAAACTCCCCCATCTCTGAAAGCATAGATTGTCTCAAAACTTTAGACAAATTGTAGTTCAAGGCAAGCTTAATTGATTCATGGATCTCAATTTATTCAGCACTTTAGGATTGTTTAGATCACTCCAAAAGGTTGATAGAAACATTCTTTCAGGCATGCATGAAACGCCCCCTTCAGCTCTTATAACCTTAAAAACTACTGAACCAACTTTCTTCAAACTGAGCTTGCTCCCTAAATCTTAATGAGATCTATAAAACAAGCTAAGTTTGGTGTCTCTGCCTTCAGTCACTGCTGAGTTATCCATGCACAAATTTTCTGAGCAGAACATACTGGGAAAAGGTCTATATTTTTTTTTTACTGAAAAAAAACTGAAAAAAACGGACAACGGATTTTGCTCAGATGTTCTAAAAAGTGTCTGGGCTAAGAAAAAATGTGCAAAATTTCAGCCTAAAAGGAATGAGTTTGTCAGCGTCACATGAGCAACTGGCAAAGGTGGGTTGGAATGGATGTTGGGACCCAGTGTGAACTCCAGCCGATACTAACCATGCCGGGTATAAACACAGACAATCTGCAAAGACCGTAAGGTACTTTGGGAGCCTACTTAAAATAACTCAAACATTCACGGATTCAAAAATTTGCCTACAAACTATAAAGTGAATATGTTCTCAAGCTGAGACCCGCTCACATGAACAGAGAGACCAGGAGCAATATTTACAGATCAAGTTCTAATGCCCCGAATGCTGGTGCTTTCTGTTTACGATGCAGGCACCGGAAGCAACTTTAACTGGGATGTTACAAATGACCCATTCCATAATCGTGTTATTTAATAACTAAAAGATCTGGGGGATTTTTATTGTTAGCGGTATGTTTGCTGCTGAGACAACATAACATCACCGTTCCCCCAGCATGGCCCTCGGAAGTCATTTTATGCAACGTAAAGAAAGTGTCTCTCTGAGAAAATCTGTGTAATTTACAATATGGATGATGCGTCTTAACCTGCCCATGAGCGAAAGGGACATAAGAACACAAGAACGGCCATACTGAGTCAGACCAATTGTCCCTCTAGCCCAGTATCCTGTCTTCCAACAGTGGCCAATGCCAGGTGCCCCAGAGGGAATGAACAGAACAGGTAATCATCATGTGATCCATCCCTTGCCACCTGCTCCCAGCTTCTAGCAAACAGAGGCTAGGGACACCATCCCTGCCAATCCTGGCTAATAGCCATTGATGGATCTACCCTCCATGAACTTATCTAGTTCTTTTTGAACCCTGTTATAGTCTTGGCCTTCACAACATCCTCTGGCAAGGAGTTCCACAGGTTGACTGTGCGTTGTGTGAAGAAATACTTCCTTTTGTTTGTTTTAAACCTGCTGCCTATTAATTCCATTTGGTAACCCCTAGTTCTTGTGTTCTGAGGAGGAGTAAATAACACTTCCTTATCTACTTTCTCCATACCCGTCATGATTTTATAGACCTCTATCATATCCCCCCCTTAGTCGTCTCTTTTCCAAGCTGAAAAGTCCCAATCTTATTAATCTCTCCTCATATGGCAGCCATTCCATACCCCTAATCATTTTTTTGGCCTTTCATGAACTTTTTCCAATTCCAATATATCTTTTTTGAGATGGGGCAACCAGATCTGCACGCACTAAATCAGATCTTCCTTGACAAGGATGGGCAAGTTCATGGTCTTGCTTTCACCATGTTCTTTGAGGGGTCTCTCTCAACACAATTCTACCTTATGATTTGTACACTACTGCCCATCACCATAGTATGTGAGTGCCAAATTCAGGTCACTGGCATTTGGACCATGGATATGGTTTTTTTCCCCTGCTGCCTCTTTGTTGTAACAGAACTTTCAGCTCCCGT